ACTATAGCAGATACCATCGGGTAACCTAGGCCTACGAGGCTATTAGCTTAGCCCCAAGGAAGGTGAAATAAATTTCACGGTCTCGGTGAGCAACAAAGGTGGTATCCAACAAATGATTAAAAATAAATCTTAAAATCAATTTCAAATTATTAATATTTAAACTTTAATTAAATTTCTCTTAAACATTTCAACCAATCAAAACATGAAGCAATTTCAATCAAATATCCTACATATGACATATTCAAACCACACAGCCTTTTGCATACACTTTAGATGGCTTACTGGGACAACCAACTCTAGTTTTAAGCTAGGTTGATGTTTACTTTTGTTCTATGTGCCGTGCTATTGAGTTTTCACTACAAGATGGTTGTTAATATTGATGTGATTGTTTACTTACTTTTATGCACTCTATAATGTGATTGATTGTGCGTTAAATCTATCCCTAGGTTAGGGACAATATATAGTAATTCAATTTTATGCATGTAGCCAAGCTTATACAGAGCAATAAAATAAAGGGGGCATAAATCAAAAAAATATAATATTTTTTGCACGGGTGCTTCAAAAAATGCTTGTCTTGCTTTAAATTTAAAGAGCATGGCAAAGTGTGGCTGTAAATTTGAGTATTTTTCAATTAATTATCTGTTTGAGATTAATATTAATTATTTGAGATGTTTTAATTATAACTGGTTAGGATAACTCTGCAGGTGTTTTGAGTCTAGAATTTTCTCTTTTATAAATATAATTTGAGATATTTTTGAGTTGTAAACGTGGTTTGAGATGGGATATACATATATCATAATTAGATTCCTAATAGGAGAGGACATCCCTTAAGAGAGATTCATCCTCCATTTGGAAGCCTAAGTTAGGATATTTTGAGTATCCAAAGAGAAAAGATAACACCCCTTATGTGGGGGAGTTTCTTTTCACTTGGATCTCTAGACCAGATGGATTCAAGAAGCCCGTAGAAAGATGAAGAAGTGAAGAATGAGAAGAATCCTAATTCTCAAAGTCACTCATATATTAAGATTAGAAATTCGGGCTTGTTGTCATGGCACCCGAGCACTTTACTTTTCTGCAATTCAGGCATGTAATATTAAAAACATTTTCCTGTGGAAATTAAATTTTAATTGATTTAATTAATAATATTAATTATTTGATATTGATTGCGATATAGGATTACCTATTTTTAGTAGTTTTTTGCGATTATTGCATGCCAATTTTGATTTAACCTGGAAGCCGATAGGAGGCTCGTGAGGGATTATTAAAACTATTTCTACTTTAATCAAAATTAAAATTTTTAAGATAACATAGCAACTCTAACATTTTAAGAAGTAAGTTCGGGACCGTTGGGAGTTCTCATATGCATATTCATTACATCTTCTTTCCTTTGTTAGGCACCTTCCTGCCTACAGGTTTTGGCAGACCACCTAGCTTATGAGGGTATAGATTTCTCAAGGGGAACCTGTGTATTCTTCTAGGATAAAATCTATTTTTAAACCTTTTTCAAAAACTATTTTATATTTGATTTAAATATTCCATCAAGTCAACTAGCATGCATTGCATTAGAAATCAATTAAAATGAGTTAAAATTTAATTGCATTTACCTAAGCATAAAATAACTTACATAAGTCAAATGGGATAATTAGGATATGCTCTAGATATCAGCCCTGCTTTCCTTAAACTCAATATAGTTAATGTCCTTACCACTCCTGCATAAAAGATCAAATATATAGTTTTGAAGTATTTAGGTGGTTTAGTTGGCTCCCCAATTCAGGTCGGGGTAAGTCCAGATCTTGCACTATATTTGCTAGGTACATGTTACTAATTTTTTAGTGCCCAATTTAGATTTAGGTTCTGAGGTAGACTCAATCTATAAGCCCTCAACCTTTGGTAATTGAATCTCAACCTTCTAATAAAATCAATCATTCAAACTAAATATCTCTTTCAATCAAATTCAAGCCCAACACTTAGGATAGGTTGGAGTGCTTTTGAATTATTTCAAAATGATAAAGCACTCCCTACCCTTCTTCCTTTGACTTTAAAAATAAGTATTTAAATTTTATTCATTCCTAATTAAAATTTCCAATCCTTGCCTCCTTTGATATTAATCTTTAAAATCTTAAATGAAATTTATATCGTTATTTTAATCGAGAGTATTCTTAGGAAACTCCAATTTCCTTTGATATAACTAACTGCGAGGGCTTGCGCTCATAGGAAATTTAGAAACCCAGATCTAATTTTTCAAAAATCAAATTTTCAAAACTTCAATTAATTTTCTTTAGGAAATTCAAAATCAACGATCATTATCTTCATTCTCAAATGATCAATAATGGTTGATATCTTCTTTCCTCATAGAGATGTGTCAATTAATATTATAATTTTGATTATGAAATTAATGATCTCTTAGCCAAATTATTATAGTCAAACACTCGATTAAATATCATTTTAACCCTTCGAGATCATATTTAATTTTCCTGGGTTAGACTATGATATTCATGATAAATTCAAAGTTTTCAAATTTGAACCCATTAAAGAATGATATGTTTGCCTCCTGCGGTGATATATCATTTATAATGATGTGTTCAATTTCAAAACTATAATTCCAAAAATTAATCTTTCCCAAAAAAATAATATTTTTCAAAACTTCACTTTTTAATCAAATAAGATAATGGACAAGTTTCTTTTGAGATGGACAACGTTTGTTTTGATTCATGCTGATCCTGATTTGATGGTGGAGAATTTTATATTTAATTGAGTTTGGAATATAAAGGAACTTCCAAGTTATTTTGGTGAGGAGATTATTTTACTTATTTGTAATACAAATTTTTTTCCTGAAATGATAGAAGACCAAGTGGAGTTGTTACATCAAATTTTGGGTAAGACCATTTCTACTTTAGCTTTTGAGGCTATGATTGATAATATTCCTAAAAAACAATATTAGAAGTGGATTAAAAACCTCAAACTTAATCCTCGTGTGGAGAATTTCTGGTGGAGGATATTCCACTATGCCATTCCTACTTTTATATTTCTTGTTCATAGAAAATTGAAAGAGAATAACTCTTGTCCTAGTGGCTGTGTTAAAATAGAGGATTATGAGCATGTGGTAGTTGGATGTTTGAAGTTTATCCATATTATTCAGATTTTAAGCAAATGGGACTTTGCTATACCAATATTTACTTCCTTTGATGATTGTTATGCTTGGTTGGAATGAAATGGTTCTATTCAGTTTTTTTTTTTTTTGGAAAGATTATATTGTACTGTAGTTTTCTTATCTTGAAAGTCCAGATGTAAAGGAGTTTATGGTGGGAATGAAGATAATTGTTTGTTTAGTGCTTCTAACACGGTGAGCTATTATTAGTTTGGCCAGTGGTGTTAATTTAAAAGCAGGCATCTGGAATGTTAATCAGTCTTATTGGCTGTTGAAGAAATCTTAGCATCCTCCCCCTCCCATTTTGATCAAAGTGAATGACGTGTTTGATTTCATCATACAAGGCTAGTATTAGAGGTGTTTTAGAGATCATAAAGAAGATTCTTATTTGCATTTGGGTTTAGTTAGCTTCATTGGGACATAGGCCAATTGGAGATGTTAGTTGTTCTTTCTATGAGCTATTACTTGTAGACGTGGATGTCAGAGTATAAAGGAATCATAATTAAAGGTGACAATGCTAATGTCATCAAGCTTCTTCAAAGTAGCTCGAAGATTTCTAAAGATCATGTGGTGGATAATCAATTTGGAGAATCATATTTATCTTAGAGATTTTAATTATGTTATTTTTAATTGTGTTGATAGGGAATGTAATAAGTTAGATGATCTTTGTGCTAACATTGCTCTTAGCAATGATTTTCTTTTGGATGATTTTACTTTGAGTAGTATTCCTCATTCATTTTTTAATTTGTTAAAGGAGGAATGTGAATCTATTGGTAGGTTGTAATAGGTTTTTTTTAATGTTATTGCTTTTGCATCTTAAAAAAAAAAAAAATAGCATCACTATAAAAAGAGAATCATTAGGAAATATATTTTATTTACATTTCATCAATCCAAAATATTTTATCCAAATAGTATGTCCATTATTTTTAATTGATTTTAATTTAGTGATTGAATCTCCAAAAAAATCTATTTTTATTGAGTATAATAATTTTTGTAATTGTAGTAAGCAGTATTAGTGTTTGCAAGTAAACATTCTTTCTCGTGAGATTAATACTCTACTCTATCACTATATTACTTGATTTGTAACGTATACTTGTGTATATCAAGCATGATTTTTATAATTTTTATATATAAAAAAAAAACTTAAGCATTATTTGGGGATTGATATAGCCCAAAATTATTTTCATAATTATATAGGTTACTCCACCGCACCCATCAAGTTTTTGGCGACATTGTAGGAGAAGAATTTATTTTACTCATTATTTTACTATATTCTTGAATCAATTGCATAATTAGACATACTTTTTAAATTTTTTTAAAATTTTTTTATTGATTGTACATTTTTTATTGCATTCTTAAAAGTCATAGAAAGGAGCTATTGTTAGATTTTGATTCTAAAATTGAAAAAAAAAAAACCTTATTTTTTAAATTAGAACCACCAAAAAGATTTTTTGAATATGGTTGACCATACTAAAGACTTAGATCATTTTAGACCTCTTAAAGATTTTGCTAACCCTTTAGTAGGTGAACTTCACCAAAGCATTAACAGACCTGCCATCTAAGCAGATAAAATTGAATTAAAACTTGCAATCATTTAGATGGTACAAAATTCTCTATTTGAGGGTTACTCCCACTGAAGATCATAATTTATATTTAGCAAGTTTCTTAGAAATATTTGCTACATTTAAGTATAACGATGTTAGCGTGATGCCATTAACTTATATTATTCTCATTTTCTCTAAGAGATAATGCAAAAATATAGTTAAATAGTTTACCCCCAAGCTCAATTATTATATGGAATGAGTTAATCCACAAATTTTTTGGTAAGTAATTTTCACCTTTTCTGACAGCCAAATTTAAAAAAGATATTACTTCTTTTACCCAGCAGAAGGAGAATCCATTTATGAGAGTTGGGAGATTTAAGAAAATGCTTAGGAAGTACCCTCATCATGTCTTACCTGATTGGTTAGTAATTCAAAATCCTTACAATGGATTGGTAGGATACCTTAGAGCTATAATTGATGTTAGAGTTGGAGGTTCTTCCATGTCAAAGTTATTTGATGAGGCTTATGAATTAATTTAGGAAATTATAATAAATAATTTTCAATGGAATGTTGATAGGATCAATCCTAAGAGAGTGATATGAGTCTATGAAAATAATTTTGTATCTATTTTTACAGCATAAGTTGCATCAATTTCAAAAAAGTTGAGTACTTAAGACTTAAATTTTGAAACTTTAGTACATTTGGAAGATAAAGGCTCAATTGAAGAAAATGATATCTAAGAGATTGAGAATATTAATTTGATTAGGGGATAGAATAATTTATATTCAAATACATATAATCCAGGTTGAATGAATCACCCAATTTTTTGTTGGTCAAATAATAATTGTTGAAATCGATGGATCAAAAATCTGGTCAAAAAAATTAAGGAATTAATTAGAATAATCAAAATTAAGCTAATAATAATCTAAGATCAGCATATCCTCCTTAGTTTAATCAAAGAAATCTATTTGAAAATAGATAGACACCACTTGAAAATGTGGTAATACAATTGGGAACATAATTATAAAATCAAGCTACTTCAATTAAAAACTTTAAGACTCAATTAAGTCAACTTTCAATTTCTGTGAGTAATAGACCCATTAGATCCCTTCTTAGTAATACAAAAGTTAATCTTAAGGAAAAGGAAAAAGATCTAAATGGAATCCAATTGAGGAGTAACAACCATTTATCCTAGTTAAATTGTAGATATCAGCCAGTTTAACTAAAGACTAAACTTGGCGTTGCTTGGGAGGAAACCTAATTTTAGATTTAGTCGATTATTTTGTTTGGTTGATGACTATAAACTTAATGCTTCTTTGGAGGCAACCTTATCTTTAGATTATGTTTTGATTTTATTTTTAAAAAACCTTTAAGATAAGAAGAGAACGTCATGATGACATCACTTCAAATGTTGTAGCACTCTGCTATGACTTAATGAATGAAAATTTCAAATTGTAAAACATCCCTCCAACTAAAATCTATAAAACCCACTTCAGGGAAGTTAACTTCTCAGTCCTTATCAATCTTTGAGTGTGTGCCATTCGATCTTATCTTAGAAATCCAAATTTAAGTAATGGGTAGGATTAAGCAAAGACCCTCTTCTTCTAGGATTCAAAGTGAAGAGCATACTAAGAATGTTCTAATTTTGAAAAAGGTTGTCTCAATTTCAGAATCAAAATTTAACAAAGGTTCCTTTCTATATCTTCTAAGCATGCAACCACAAATATACAATCAATAAAAATAAACAAAATAAAAATAAAAGTAGGTCTCACTATATAATGAATTCAACAATATAGTTTAAATTACAAGAAATAAAATACGTCATCGGCAATGGTGTCAAAAACTTGATGGGGCTTATGGAGTAACCTATTGAGTTGTGAATTGGTTTAGGGCTCTAGTAATCCCTAACAATATTTTAGATTTTCTTTGATATAAAATTATAAAAATTCCACTTAATATATACAAGTATACAAGCTAAATCAAGTAATATAGTGATAGAGTAGAGTATCAATCCCACGAGAAAGTAATGTTCACTTGCAAATAACATGTACTATCAACTTTAATTACGACAATTATCATACTAAATAGAAAAGGTGATTAGGAGTTTCAATCACATAAATAAAATTAGAAAAAAAAATAATGGATACACTATATAGATAAAATATTTTGGATTTATGAATGTCAATTACTTATTTTTCCTAATGAATCTCTTTAATTGTGATGCTATTCAGAGCATATGCATCCCTAGATATCTATTGAGCTTGTATGGAAAAAAGAATAGATCCTTTACAATTATATCATCTCTTTAAGAATTTAAACATTCCATAGCTAGGCATATCACATACTAATTCAACATTCTTGGTTATGTATGCTTCCCTCTGTCGAGGCTCCACATTACACCTAGTTTTAAATGCACATATGGCCACTATCTGTATTAAATTAAGATATGATAATATTAAAAATATCATTTTAATCATTTACTATATAATAAAATTCATTAATACTCCATATGATCGTCATATCATCAATCCAAAACTCCCTTAGTATCAAGTACTTCCCTAAACTCTTAGTTATCACCCTAAGGAAAATTTAGAGATACTCTGAAATGTACTAAAATTATAAAAGTGAATGAACTGCCCTACTAATATAATACATTGAGTATTTATAAAAAAACACAAAAAATGAAAACTGACGCTACAGCACTCGACACATTGGCTCTGTGTGCCTACAAAATCAACTAACGTTGTAGCGCTAAAACGTTTACTCCACTGCGGCTCTTGCTAATGTGGATTAGCTTCCTACTAAATAGTCACATTACTTCGCTGGAAGAATATGTCTTGAATATTTTTTTACGGTAGCAATGCATCATTGCTGTCGTTTGAGCGGTGCAACACCAACGTGGCAGTTTTTGGGCTTGGTAGCGCTGAAAAGAGGCGTCGCGGTATTATGAATATAGAGACTAGGCTTTGTGGTGCTGCAACCTTGGACATTATGGTGCTATCCAAATAGAGATTGGGAACCGTCATGTCCAAATATGGCTCCCCGACGGTGTCATTGAAGGCGCTGAGGAGGTGAGTAATCTGATATTGCGGCAATATATGTTATGTGAAATTTTGTGCCTTTTCTATTTTTTTTTTCTACACAACACAACTAAAACAATACTTTTTATTCAAAAAATATAACACATAAAACACTACATTATTTACACATATCAATTGTGCATAATATTAATTATATATAAGTGAAATAAAGTATGTTGTTCACTAAAAGTAAATAATTAAATACTTCTTATATTAAAGTATAAAGTAATAAATTTTCATAAAGCTCTTATACCTCTCATCAAAAATAGATATCAAAACTTAGGATTTTATGATTTCTTGTGCTAGTATATTTAAAACACACCCAATACTTAGCACATAGATATTCAGAAAATTCCAGCCCTTATAGATCATTGTATTCAATACCATAACTTCCTCCAACATCAAAACATCACAAAAGTACATAAATACATATACTTCATTGTTAAAATCCCAGAGAAAGGAAGCATTAGTTTCCTTCGATTCATCATTCCTCTCTCCCATTTCTCCTCTTCTCTAGACGAAATGAAGCTGCACACCCGACCTCCTCCTCTACCTCCCGTTAACCAAAGCCCTCCAACCCGAAGCCCTAGCTGACCTCCATCCTTCGGCTCCTTCGTTGTTGGTCGACTTTGGCTCCTCCATTGTCATTCGACTTTGCTCCTTCAACGACATTCCTTTCCCATCGGATTGAAAGTTAAACCATTTTGAGACGCTACGCACCTCAGTGCTTACGGGAAAAGAAAACTGTGTATTTTTAAACAAGTACCTTGAAGACCCAATATACGCTCTTGTTGTGTGGTAGGACTAAAGACTATGGCCGCGATGTCTACGGACACCTACCGTTCACGCTCTTGTAGCATGGTAGGAAGGCCCAACTTCTCCACATTTCTCTCAAACGAGGAATATGTTGAGATGCTTCTCAAATTCACACTAGTGTACAAGACCATAATAATAAGAAGACCTAACTTGAGCAGCAATACATAGGACCTATATCTGAATACAAGTACACAAAATTTGAACAATTGTGCAGAGAAATAAATTTGTGAACCAAACAAGCAGAGGACTTAAACCAAATTATAAGGAACTGGACCTTAAACAATAAACTGTATAATTAACTTACAAAATGCAAATTTTAAAATGCAATTCAATTCACTCAATTAAGTACAAACCAAATAAGCAGGGGATTTATGGTGAAGTAACAGATACGGTTGACTTACAAGCAACATCAGCCAACTAAGAAATGTACGTATAAGTACTTCATACATTTACTTACGCAAGAAAAATCCTCCTGTGAATTAAAATTGCGACACTATCAATCGGCAAACAAAACCTTAATCCATACATATAATGAATGTTAATCAACTCGCAGCAATTACAAAGCAAATATCAACTATAAATTTCTAAATGCATGAGCATGCAATGAATGATGATGGTTGATACCCTAAAAAACTATTAAAGGATCTTGGCCTTATAATTCCAGATGAAGATCATACCCCAAGAAATAACAACATTATTATTGTGCATTCACTTGCAAGAATTAAGATACCTCAAAAGATAGTACTTTCAAGCACACAATTTCAAAATTATGTAAATGAAGTCTCCAATATTCTCAAACTTGTACGACCCAAATTCATGAAGGAGAAGTCCTCCCATAATGTCATGAAGTGCATCGTGTGAAATGCGTCCAATGGCATATACCTACATAGGTCACGACAAGCATGTTGTAAGTACACACATGATGCCTAAGAATGTCATGCAAGTTAAGAAATAAATGTAGATTCGAATCTGATCATCTGTCGACAAGCAGGAGTTGATAATGTTTAATCAACATAAATATAATAACCCATATTCTCTGATGATGACTGCATTGAATATTTATATCAATTAGAGGAGATCAAATATTCAAAATGTCCTCAATTTTTTACACAATATAAATATTTTTAAATGACCCCATATTCCCCGATGATGACCATGTTGAATGTTTATATCAACCGGGGGGGATCAAATATTTAAAATGCCCTTAAAATTTTACAAAATAGAAATATTTTTAAATGACCCCATACACCCCGATGATGGACGTGCTAAATACAAAAATCAAACAGAGGGGATCATACATTTTCAAATGCCGTCAAACCTCCACAAAGTTCAAACGTTCACAAAAATGCAAATATTTTCAAATGACCCCATACACCCCAATGAAGGCCGCGTTAAATATAAATCTCAACCGGAGAAGTTAATTCCAAATATTCCAAATACTCCCCAAACATCCAAATGCCCATGAGAACCCAAAAAATCCAAAAAACTACCAAAATTCAAAATATTTAAAATTGAAATAATCCATCAAACACTTAAAGCAAAATCCACTCATCCTACATTATAATTTGACGAGGTGGACAAACCTAAAAATACACTTCAGCTCACAAAGAGCTAGTGTCTGGTCACGAATATTAATTGGATTCATTCTCAAACAGTCTATTTCCAGTAAGAATGCGGCACGTGTCCTCAAACCAACAATATTGTCGCCAAATGGCACTGCAAGTAAAAAGTTATGATTGGGGCCCTCTGAACCGAGTGGTTTGTCGTCAAATGGCGCCACTAAATTACTGCAACGGCCAGAACTCGTATGTTCCCCAATAGCATCAAATCATTGAGATATGAATCAATAGAATATAATCGATATGACATAAAGTCCTCTGTTAGCTAAGGTGAATTCAAATTTGTCAAAGAAAACGAGAAAAGACAGGGGAAGCCTGGGCATGAATTTTCGAAGCCCACATGGTCCAACATACATTAATGTCTAAGAAATCATATAACATTTGAATTAACTTAACCTCCATCTCCTTTGTGCCTATGCATTCCACAATATGCTTTTTTTAAAAAATATTTACGCATGGAGTTTTCAAAACAGCATAGAAAAAAAAATAATCTTTATTTAAGCTTTTCATTTAAGGATAAAAGTAAAAAATTTAACAAAAGTGTTTAATATTTATTTAAAAAAAAAAATCATCACCTTTATTCTAGTAACATAACATTAACTAGCAAATTATCAAATTATAATGACATTAATAAAAAGTAGTAAAATGGTTATAAAATTTTCATATGAATAAGGGTGCTTTTTCTTAATATATATATTGTTCATTTCAACCATTAGTGAAACCACAGTGAGGGCCTAGGAGTAACAAGCCCCCACAGGCTCAACTCGATTTAAAAAGGTTCATAAAATAGATTAACATGCTTATAAAATTGAATCCTAATGTAAACTACATTCAAGTTATTTTCCACTCTAGCTTCAAGAGTCTAGATGATATCTACACCTTGCGCTTCTATTACGATTTACGACATCACCCCTACGACCACAAAAGTACTATGCAAAAAAAAAAAAAAAAACCTAAACCAAAAACCAGCGATCATTTCAACTCCTGTGCATCAGCAAATTATTGCATCCGGTCACCTGACAGAGAGATGCATTCGGAGCTCTCTCTGTCTACAATGAAAGTGCAGGTATTGTAGCATACCTACGCTTCACCTGCGCTTTACTGTAGACAGAGGGAGATCCGAACAGTTCTCTCTGTCAGGTGACCGGATGCAATAATTTGCCCTGTGCATCAAGACATGTTTCTTGTTATTCTTTTTTTTTTTCCTCTCAATTGTTCAAAAAACTTTTCTTTTCATGTACCAAATGCCAAAAGAAAAATCACATTCTAACAATTTTTAGAAGAAATATTAGTGATTTCTAATCAGCGGCTTAAACCAACATTTTTGTATAAATACTCATAATTTTCAAAACAAAAGTTTGGAAAAAAAAAATCAACTACTTTTCTCTAGCTTAAGATACATCAAAAACCTTGTCAGAACCATTAATCACAAGCATAACAAACATAAGCATTACTCATCAATGAGCCACAAATGACTAAAATTAGTGTAAGTACCCTTCAATTCAAAATTTGACTTTTTGAGTAAGCTCAAATAATACATAAATAAAATTACTGTCTAATTATCACGAAATTTAAGGCAATAATTGTAATCACGACATGTAATTAAATTCTTAATATCAACACAAAGAAATTGCTGCACAAACTTAAATATAAAATCATAATCATATCTCTCATAATTAAAGTCTTAAGATCAACTTTCAACTTAATCATGAGTCATAAAGATTGTGAACCACAAAAAAAAAATAGTAATAAAATATGAAGGAAATTTTTAAGAAGTAAGAGGACCAATCAACCTTCTCATGATGACCACATCATATACAACAGATATGGTTAGAATATAAGATCCCTTCAATAACTTTATCCATCTTCATCTGTTAATAATTCCAAGGATCTGCAGCAACAAAAAAGTTATTGTTATGATCACATAGCACAACTTGTTGCATTAATCTTGATCTTGATTCATTAAACCAAGAATCGTTAAATTAAGAATCATCAAAAGAATATAATCATGCATTATTTGTCACATTGCACCAATTCTGACAATATAGATCTTCAATTACTAATTGAATATATATAAATGGCATATATTATCTACATGATTTATGTTGTTCTTCAACCAAAGATCAACACCCACAAAATATCACATATTTAAAATTACATTTCCATCTAGACTATGACAATAACTAAAGTGTATTGAAAATAAAAAATATGAATTTTGCAAGAATCCTACCATTTTTTTTGGGTATCCCACTTTGCTCAAGGCTTCCTCAATTCCCATTGCGTTAATAGTTCCATAGGAACCACTATAACATAGATGAGGGTAAATAATATCAATTTCAGTGCTAATTCCAACAACAACTTCACCATCAAGAGTCGCAATTGGTCCTCCACAACCCTATTAACAAAAAACAAGATAGAAATTAAAAACAGTGAAAATTAAATATTATGTTTGATTTAGAGAGATCTTCAGCCAGCCATATTCATATAGGTCAAAAACCCAATACAAAATATGAATGATAAAAACATATTTCAACTCAAATCAAAGAAATATAGAATATATGGGATTAAAATAGATGGCGCCAATTAAGCTATACGGGCAAACAACAGTGCATAATAGTCCTAATATTGCGCTGCTTCGATTTCTATGGTGCACAATTAAAAATTAATCTTCAACATGTCCCAAAAGTTTCTTTTTTTTTTCTCTTCCAATTATTAAATCTCTCACAAACAAATGAGTCTCCACCACATTCACATGTCATAATTTGCTCGTAAGGACTAAATAAGTAGCAATATAGGCAAAAGATGGCATCTTTCTATACATTGTATTATATCCAATCAAGAAATTCTTCAATCCATTTCGAGTTAAATCTATACTTCACTTGAACTAAATCTTTACAACTCATATCTTTTTGTTTGACTAACTTATACATATATCTTTCTTCATCCTTAGTATTTAATCTATTATATAAATCACTAAAAGCTAAGGTCTTTGCATCACATCCTCTTTATATCTTTCCCAATTATCTGAATTTTTTACATTTAAGCAAATTTTTATAACAAGCATTCTTATTTTTTTAATCTTTTTTTTGCATATTTGGATTCCACCACCAACTATTTTTACTATTATGATTTTTTTCGCTTTGATATTACAATATTCTTAATATCACTAGCCACTTTTTCCCACATAGCATTAGCATCCGATACACAGACAAAATCTTAAGCTCTAAAATCTTACTCTAAAAAATATTTTTGATAATATTCTTTAAATGTCCCTATCTAATCCTAGAATATCATTTTATTTCATCTTTTATTTTCTATCTCTTTTATCTTAAAGTCCAAAACAAATAATCAATGTTGAGCAGGTGGTCGTGAGAGGGGCGGCAACTCATGTAGGACTGAAGGGTTGGGGGAAGGGCTAGGGGGTTCAGCTAGATGAGGCGACTAAGGTTGGGAGGTCGGAATCGAGCAGGTCGTCGGACAAGATAGAGGCGACGGGTTCAATGAATGAAGCGTCAGTTTGCATAGAGAGGGAAGGCTTCGGCTGAGTGTTGCTGTCGGCTAGGCTCGCAAAGCACGGCAACTCAGGTAGGACTGGAGGGTTGGGGGAAGGGCTAGAGGGTTCGGCTAGATGAGGCGACTAAGGTTGGGAGGACGGAATCGAGCAGGTCGTCGGACAAGATAGAGGCGACGGGTTCAATGAATGAAGCGTCAGTTTGCATAGAGAGGGAAGGCTTCGGCTGAGTGTTGCTGTCGGCCAGGCTCGCAAAGCAGTGAAGAGGTCTTCGATTAACTATAGGTAGGTAGGGTTAATCGAGTATAAGTTGTATGGGTTGAGGTTGAAGAGCTCGCGGCTTGACGATTTCTGGAAGATGAATGGGGTTCGGATGTCTTGCGGCTAAGTTTGGAAGTGGATTTGGCCGGAGAAGTGGAGGTCTCAGCGGGTCTAGAGCAGAGGAGAGGCGGAGGTTGCGATTCGATCTGAGGAGAGATTTCACGTGCGTGTGAGAAAACGAAGCCTTGCTCTTCATTTTATCAACGTGAATGGGTGTGCTCGAAGTGTTGTCGTCTGAGAGGATTGCTTCGACGCCGTTCGCAGGGCATGGGTGACTGTGGCACACGAGATTTGGCGCAGGATTTTAGCAGAACATGGCATGGGAAGCAATTGGTAATCATTTAAGCTTTTTTTTTATTCTCCCTTTTTTGTTTTAATGGCTGAGGTCAACAATTATGTAGATTTTTCTACAAAACTGAAGGAGAAAAAAAAAAAGCAATAATAAGAAAGAGCATCAGCTAATAGCAACACATGGGCAAGAATTTGAGGCAACATGCATGACTTCTTAGGTCATAAAAGAGCAACTTTTAATTGGCTGCTCTAGGCCTGCCGGATTAAGAAGCTTTGGCAAGGAGTAAGTCCACATCAAGAATTGAAAGCCTGCTAGCTTTGACAGTAGGTGTATTATTCAACACTACCCCTAAAACTAACATGAAGATATTGCTCATGAAGATAAAATTTAAAATTACATAATCAAATATTGAGGCATTTTTTGAACGTGACTACATGAGACAAGCATAAACCTCAGAATTAACCTATTAGGCTAATAAAAATATAAATAACATGTAACTTACTGACATCAAAGATAAATAATTAAATAATATCATGCAGGTCAACAGTAAGATCATAAAAATATTTATATCCCTCATCCCAATTCAACATAAACAACTAGTGACTGTCATTAAGATTATAATGTCTGGATTCAAAAATCACCCTAACTATCATCACTTAGTAGATCTTCATTAGAATCATTATTATAATAAGCTGCTTTCTCTCCTATCTCATCTTCAATTGAACTTACAAGTGCATATGAACAATATCGATTACGAGTGCATAATGTAGCCAGATGTTAATGAGTGCATTGAATTATAGACTTTATAGTTTTAAAATTTATTTGTTTGTGTAAAGAAGGAATAAATTGAGATTTATTTTATATATTAAATTTATAAACTAAAATTCCAAATCACCTAAACCTTAATTTTTAGGCATAAGCACCTTACAGATTGCATAGAGGCGTATCTCACCATGGAGGTATACGACTCATTAGGTCAAGATGAGGGGTAAGCCTCATTGCAATTTTTTTTTTTTTTTCAAATTACGTTGAGGGAGGCCTAAGCCCCACACTAAGCCATGCATCTCATCAGGCCAAAATGGGATGCAAACATCATGGCATTTTTCAAAATTGCGTTGAGGTTGGCATTTTTCAAAATTGCATTGAGGTAAGCCTTGAAGCATGCCTCTTATTATGCAATTGTAAACAATGGTCAACATAAGCTTTAACAAGTAATGGGGTAGGGACTTTTAATTCTTCTGAATGCCTTTTTATCCATAACACCTCACAAATGTCATGTACTAGACAAAATTTAACTTCAACACTACTTCTAGCAACAACACTTTATTTTTTGAATCCAAAGTAATTAGGTTACCACCAAACAAGGTACATTATGCAAACATAGACCTTCTTTCATTGATATCTCTTGCCTAATCAACATTTGTATAGGTTTACTCGAAGATAACTTTTTACTTTAGAACAAAAGTCCTTTTCATGGTGTCCCTTTGAAATATTTAAAAATATACAACTCATGTCAAAGTGGCTAGGTATAGGTGAATGCATAAAAATAAGTTATCCTAGACTCTTAATGTCAATTCAACCTAAAACTTTTTTATCAAGTTAATAAACTCAATGAAATCATCTCAAGTTTTGATTATGTCAACAAATATAAACAATAATGCGACTATTTCACTTTCAGTAGAATGCTTGAAAAACAAGACATGATAGGCTTGATTTTCTTAAAAATTGTCTACCAGCAACAATGCCAAATCGTTCAAAACTATATTGTAAGTGATTATTTTAGCCCATACAAAATTTTCTTCAGGTTACATACTTTTTCAATCAATAGATTTTAGAATTAGTTAGAGGAATTGGTAAAATTTCTAAAATTTATCTTCCTTTAATATGTTCTCCACTAAAAGAAACTTTTTCGAAGGAAGATGTGATTTTGAACAAACTTTTTGAAATAATTTAGGAAATAAAGATAAGATAAGAAAAATTAAGATATGTTAATCTCCTATACCATACTATGACTTAATTATTAACAGAAAGTTGAACTGGTAATAGTTATTCCAAAAAAAATTTAACCTTAAAAGTTTATCATCAATGTAATATTATCTATTTAGTTCCCCAGTAATCATAATGGTTTTTCCTAAGTTCTCATCCAGAAAAAATACATATGGAAGGAATAAAGAATATTGGACTATTAGAATCTCTAGGCAGTTTACTAATAGAGGGAAGATAGCGAGCTAGGTTGGGCATATGTTGTATCACAGGAGAAGCTTCTAACAGATTACATAACAAACTAAATAATGATATATCTATCAAACTCACTGAGCAAAATATTCCCACAACATAGATTGTTCTTGCCTCCAATGTTTAAAATTGCGTATTCGGGTATTGAGGCGTTTTTCATTTGTGAGGCGAGGCGTAAGCCTCAAGGCGTTTTGAGGCGTAAGCCTCAAAATCAAAAGATTGCGTAAACATAAAATGATAAATTTTTTATATACTAATGAGTGAATAACATAAAACATAAAAAAATATAAGATATGAAGTGAAATCAAAATATCCCAATAATAAGACAACATGAAATATAGTTCAACTCAAAATTCTACCTTTCCCAAATCCCAGTATTCTTTTCATTAACATATAATTCTAATTTCTAAAAATAAATAGCAATGACATATCACATAAGAACTCAAAAGTCATCAACGCTGTCATCACTAAGGGGTTCTTCATTTGAATCATCATTATGATGAACTGCTCTCCCCCCTTCCTCCTCTCCTATAGAGTCCCCTTTCTCATCTCCTATAGAATCCAATGTCGAGCATTTACTTCAAGATTTATGTAGGTTTTAATATATATAGTGTGAGGCGTAAGCCTCATGCCAGTGAGGCGAGGCGGGCCTTAAGCCGGGCCTCAACCAAGTTGAGGAGTAAGCCTCATAACAAAAACTCGAGGCGTAAGCATCGAGGCGTTTTTTACTGGAATTGCGCAAAGGCGGGCCTCAAGGCGAGCCTCATATTGCGCAATTTTAAACCATGCTTGCCTCCATTGTGTTGATTTGGATGCCTTGCAGTTGAGTTATGCTTCAGAAACAACAAATGCATAGGCTTAACAACAGGAACAGCAACCCTTGTAGTTGACAAAACTTCGAGCATCATGAGAAGAACACCACAACTTCAAAGAGAATAATTGTGACCAAAGACTAAGGAGATACATAAGAAAAGGACAACAATCTGGAAATCGTTTTAGCTCTATGATATTATAGAAAATAAAATAAAAAGATATTAAAAAAATTTATTTAGTTTTATTACTGTGTTAACATGCAAAAATCTAGGTGGTTTATACAAAATTTTCCATAAGATATATTTAACGAAATAAAGTAATAATAGGACAAAATAGGGTATCAGTTAATGGCAGTCCTTTTGCGAGAATTTGAAGCGTCATGCAAGAATAAGAATTTGAAGTGCCATGCATGAATCTACAAGTCATAGAAGAGAAGCTTTTAATTGGTTGTTGTACATTCATTGGTTTCTGAAGCTTTGGCAAAAAGGCAGTCCCCACCGACTCAATACTACTTTTTTTATAGTAGGCATACTATTCAATAAAAAATAATGATCATATCTTTTTACAACATGCAAATTTAATAAAGGTTGCTTCAATTAGTGGACCACATGCAATCAAAGATAATGAGAAAATCAGCTACAGTAACTATTTGGCTAGAACTCTACGAATTGCCTGACATCATTGGATTAAGACAACCAAGGGCATTTGAAAATAAAAAGTTCAAAGATAATGATGTAAATGAATGGATTAGAAGGGATGTTCTTATGAATATAGAATTTCTTTATATTAAATTATTAATAGAATTGGCGAAGGGATTTGGATAGAGCTTTCTTATAATGCCTCTTGTACACATTTTAATCTAAAGAATAGTTATTTATCTTTAGTGTGATTAATAAGTATCAAACAACACTATTGTCCTTTAGTAAATGAAAAAAAAAAGAGACAAATATCGTTATATAGCTAACAAACATATTCACTAAAGCAAATATCATATCAAATGATAAGACTACACAAAAACTCGAATAAATAAATGGGCGTAAAAATTACCAAAGAAAATTTTTCATAATCCATTGTAGATTTGAATTCTTCATCCACTAGCATCAAGTTGTCCTGAAAATAGAATTATTCAATTAAATTACTTGTCAAGTAAATACAATAATCATTATATTATTGAAAACAACATCTAGCCTAGTCACAAACCCTACATCAAATTGAATTAGATAGAAGAGGAAGCTAGCTCAACAAAATTTTAGCATATTGCTTATATTATTAACATAAAAAGATAACTCACAAAAATAAAGTAGATAACAGTTTAAATTTTAAATTTTGGAAAAAACCTTAACACAGAAAATAGCTAACTTAGGGTTCGTTTGGGACGACGTCACTACTGTTTTACTTTATAAAAAGTTACCGAATGATCGTTTGGGGCATTGCGGCAGAACCAGGTTTGAAAAAATTTGCGGCACATATCTGCTTCCCGCAACCTTTCGCCGTCTCCTGCGATCCGCTGCGTTCCGCGGTTTCGAAGGGCAAAAATGACGTAAATCCCACTTGAAAATATTCGCGACCTTCGTCCCACTCATCGGTGCCTTTCGCACCAGTAGTCTCTTCTCCTGCTCTCAACCATGACTGCCCACCCGATGCTGTCACTGAAATCCTCTGTCGAGACTTTTTTTTTGGGAAAATTAAGGGCCTTGAGCCCATATATTACTATGAAAAAAAAGGTTACAAGTAAGGTATAATAAAAAGATTTATCCTCAAACAAGTGGAGGATAAACCAAAAATCTATACCTCCCAAAAGAGCAATAAAAGAGCATGAAGAAAACATGTAAAGAACAACAACAGCTCATAGAAAACAATAAAGATTTTTGAACACCCAAAAATGGACTCAGACTGCTAATCGCATAACAATCTGAATTCCAGCATAACCGTGCAATTGTCTCCTGGTTGCCCAAGAGGCCCTCCAAGGAGATGATTAGCAGCTACATCATCGTCCTCCGACAAAACATCCAAACCTATCCTGGTTGCAAAAATGCCATCCAGGAACATGAAAATACCAACTGCTACTCAGAACCGAGATGAGAGAATAACCAGCCAAAAAAAGAACAGCATCCAGAAATGCTGCCTGGCCCAGACAAAACAAAAAAAGTGCAACCGAGAATTGAAAGGCAGATAAAACACCATCCATCCAGAATTCAAACAACCAGAACAGCCTGAATAAGAATCTGCTTCAAGATGGCCAAGAGATGCTCAAGTTTTCTTTATACTTCCAAGAAGAAATCTTCTCCTCAACAGCACGTTTAATGATATAGCATAAGGTGGATACACTTCTAAATTTAAAGTTGAATCTTCTCTCGTTTCTTTCCCTCCATAGGTGATAAGTGATACAGCAAGTCGTAAGCAAAGCAAATTCTCTTTGATTTTTATGCATATAACTTCTCTCACCCAAAAAATGAATTACTTGAATAAGCCTAGGGCGCAGGAGAAAATTCCCCACAGCAGGGACCAGATTTTTCAACACAGCAAAAGCATAATCACATTCAAACAAAATGTGGGAATTAGACTCATTGTTAGAAGAGCATAGAGAACAGGTAGGCGTCACTACAATATTCCTTTTAAAGAGCTCATCAGCCGTTTTAAGCCCACCGTTAACAGCAATCCAAGTATACGTGGAATATTTCAGTGCATGCAGTTTATGCCACACAAGCGAGTGCCATTCAGAAATCGTGTCTTCCCGGTAGTAAAAATTTTTGAATGAGGAAAAAGATGGCTTCTTCTTATCAATCCAACCAATCGTGCATTTAGGGTCATTATGCATAGTAAATTGCTCAAAAAACTGAGATAAAGCCTCATGAACATAGCTCGGGAAACACCAAACTCCATCCAAAAATCAGAAATCTTGGCTTGACTAGGTATGTAAGATTGAAGACTGCAATTGGGAAAAACAGAAAATAGAGACCTTCCCTGATACCAAGGATCCCACAACAATGCAATTTTGCTATTAGAGTTAATATCAAAATGGATACTGGAGGAAGTAATTCTAGCCACTGTCCCAATTTCCCGCCACAAAACAGAAGTTTTCATATTAGACGGAGTCCAAGGGGTGCCATATTTAGTATTCAAGTATGAAAAGAGAAGGGAGTTAGAGTTATAAAATCTGAATAGCAATGAACAGTGGTTAGCAAATTGAAGAGCTTGAAGGTCCAGATTTCCCAACCCTCCATACTTTTTGGGTTTACAAGTTCTCTTCCATGCTATAAGTTGCATTTTTTTAGCCTCCAAATCTCCAAAATAAAGAAATCTAGAGCATAACCGGCTCAAGTTTTTAAAACATGCTTTTGGAAAAATAGCCCCCCTAATCCAATAGGCAATGGTATTGCAAACTGTATACTTAAGAAATTGAAGACTGTCTGTATGGGTGGGTTGTCCCTTGCTGCTACGTTCTGTTAGGCGCTATGGATTACAGGAAATTCAGTGGTTTACTTGGACAGCAGGCGGGTTACACGTTCCACTGTGCCGAGATGTGAGGTGCAGGTGGTGATGATCACCCCGAGGTATGCGCTAGCGCCCTTGACGGGCACTCCAGGACCCGCCAACGCTCGTGAAAACCCAGGTCGGTCGGTCTCATCCGACCGGATGTGTGGACCTGCAAATGAAAGGAGTCTAGCTTTCCAACCTGATAAATGTCTAGTAATAGTTTGCATAAGAGGTTGAAAATCTGTTATGCCAAGCTTTTTAGCAGATATTGGAATACCCAAGTAAGTCATCTTAGAACAAGATGTTGAGATATGTAAGGCTTCACAAACAACATAAGGATTAGCAATGTAATTGGAAATAATGAGCTTGCTCTTATCATGATTGACCAAAAGCCCAATCATCTTGGCAAAAGAGTCTAGAATGTTAAGAAGTACTTCACAATTGCTTGGCGTGGCATCTCCAAAAATGAGAAGATCATCAGCATATAATAAGTGTGAAATATGCATGTCCTTCTTTTTAATGCCAATAAATCTATCCGGTCCCGAAGTTTTATCAATCATACAAGTAAATGCATCCATAGCAATACAGAACAAGTAAGGGCTAAGGGGACAACCTTGTCTGATCCCAGAAGAAGATAAAAAGTAACCCTCCAAAGCACCATCAATAGAAATTGAGAAATGAACATCCGAAATACAGGCTTTAATCCAATGGATAAAAGTTATAGGAAAGCCTTTATGCCTCATTCTGTCAAGTATGAAATCTCTAGAAACAGAGTCAAAAGCCTTACGAATGTCCAGTTTGGCACACAACAACTTGCTTTTAGCAGATTTTTTAAAATCCATAAGTAATTCAGAAGCAAGTAAGATATTTTCAGTAGCAATACGATTTTTAATAAAACCAGCTTGGTTCTCCCCTATAATACGATTTTTATAGTAGGCATAATGTCCTTCATTCTAGTAGCCAAGATTTTAGAGATAATCTTATAAAAGACATTGCAAAGTGCTATAGGTCTAAAATCCATGATATCAGAGGCATGAGCAGATTTTGGAATTAAGGCAATAGCAGTAGCCTTGACTTTGTTGGGAAGATACCCCTTATAGAAGAAAGATTTAACAGCTTTACAGACCAAAGGACCAGTAATGAGCCAAGTAGATTTATAGAACTCAAAATTGAACCCATCAGGTCCAGGGGAGGAGTTAAAATTCCCACAGAAAATAGCTTCTTTGATTTCATCGTCTGATACAGACACAGTAAGCATGTTAGCTAAATAGGAAGGAATAACATTACCTTGAGGAATGGAGGAAGAATCCCCCAAAGAATCAGGAATAGGGGCATTAAAAAGCCTCTCGAAATGAAGAATAATAGAAGAAATCAAGTCCTGTCTGATAAGAGGATCGTCGTTAGCAACCAATGAAGAAGAACTTTGATTCCTTCTTTTCCTAATCCTTGCATAAAGAAATTTAAGATCATCCTCTCCTTGCGAAAGCCATTTCAATTTAGCACGTCGGATAACCCAATTAGTCCAAGAGGATGAGCATTCCTTTATTTGATCATTAATACAATTCAGATTTTGATTCAGAATTGGATTTTGAGGGTCTGCATTAATCTTATTAAGACAAATAGTTTGTTGCTCCATAAGAGAATAAAGATTAACAGAGAGGAAAGAAGAACTAGACCAAGTTTTTGCCTAGATGATCTCTTTGAATTTGTTAAGATTGAAATAAAGCCCCTGAATTGGATTCCCATGGATCGGTTGAGCAAAAATGTTAAGTAATTCATACCAGAAACTGTCTTGCTTGGTCCAGAAATTTTTGAAAAGAAATCTATGCTTCAAATTAATAGACTGTCCTGAAAACAAGACAATAGGTGAATGGTCCGAGCAAGAAGGATTAAGAGCTTCATAAAAGGAATGAGGATAACTCTCCAACCACATATCGTTGATCAACATTCTATCTAATTTCAGATAAATAGGATCATTAGCTATTTGGTTGAACCAGGTATATTTCAGTCCAGTAGAGGCCATATTAAGTAAGCCCGGATTAAAAATGAGTGATTTGAAATCCCATATTTGAGAAGAAAGAAGGGGAGAACAGCCTGATTTTTCTTCAGGAAGGAGACAATAGTTGAAATCACCAAGAATGAGCCAAGGGGAAGAAATATGGCTACCAATAACTCTGAGATCATCCCAAAGCATAATTTTATCCGCTTGAGAATTTGAAGCATATACAACCGATAGAACACCAAGAAAGTCCTCCCCCCTAAAGAGATCTCCAGAAATCAATTGCGGAGTGAAATAAGAAGGTTTAAATTGAATCAAAAGAGGATCCCATTTGATCCAAATCCTTCCAGAACTAGCAAGATTGAAGTTATGACAACTTTCCTCATTATCATAGATTTGGTGGTTAGAGCAAAACCAAGGATTCAAAAGGCTGTTTTCATGAATCTTGTTCTCCAATACACAGAATAAGTCTAAATGGTGCTGACGGACCAACTGTTTGCAAGCCCAAACCTTTTCTGGGCTATTGAAACCTCTCACATTCCAAGCCGCAAGACGGGGCGTAATCATTGGGATTTATTAGATTGGGTAGGAGCTTTTTTAGATTGCTTACTCCTAGAAGCTTTAGGTTGTGGTGGCATTGGCATTTGGCATGTTTCCCGTTGGGAGGAGGAAGAAGGAGAGGGCATTAGATCCTTTGAACCTTCTTGTAGAAGTTCAAAACGGTTCGGAGATAAAACCTTGTCTTGCTGTTTAGGGAGAGTGGTAATGCCCGAACTAGGAATTTCTTCAGTGGGAGAATTCAGGTTAGAAATGTTGATGGATGGCGGCTCGTCTGTGGTAATAGGGGTGGGAATGACAACCACTGGCGGTTTAAAAGAAGAAGGAACATCAATCTTACAAACTGAAGATTGTTTGGAGTAATCGGATTTTTCAGAGTTTTGCTGAGAAGTGGAGGCTGCAGAGTGATGCATGGGTTGCTGGGCTTGAGGAGCAACATTTCTGTTAAAGGTCCTTGGTGGTCTACGGCTTGTGCTCCTACCACGCGGAGGAGGCTGAGTTTCAGCTTGCATAGATGGAGGCTTGGATGGACAGAATTCTAGAATATGCACGATCGAACCACAATGCTCGCAGGGTACCGGTTTCCACTCATATTGAAGTTTAAGTGAAAAAGGCTCCCCTAAAATAGTAATGGAAATTACTTCAGGATAGACACAATCCTTTGAAACCTGAACACAAACTCTGGCGTAAGTCAGCCTAGATTTTTCTGCAGTTAAATCATCCATAGCTAAAGGAATTCCGACTTTACTAGCGATACGCGATATTCCTTCCGGAGTCCAACAGGGAAGGGGCAAGTCCAAAATTTTAAACCAAATGGGAATAGAAGTGAATTCTTCTCTTACTGGTTTAAAATTTGGAACCCATTTTTGTAACACAAACGGCTTTCCTAGAAAAAACCACACACCAGTCGCTAGAGCCATCTCATAATCTTCATGTGAAGAAAACTTCAGCATAAAAAAACCATCGCTGAGAGACAACAGTTTCATCATACCTTTGAGTTTCCATACCTTATGAATTGCAGCCAGCAGAGATTCGTAAAATGGTCTTCTGCCGATGGAATAACCAACCAACGATAGACCCCATTCTTCCTTCACGATTTTGACTTGTGCCTCATTAAAAATCCAAAGGGTCATCCGGCGAAGAGGACGAAGAGAGCACAAAAGCATTACCTGGTCTTGGAGTTGCTACAATATTGCTGTTGCTGAGAGTAGGCGCTGAGGAGGACAAAATGCTCTTAGAAGAAAGAGGAGGGAACTCCTCAGGAGAAGAGAGGTTGGCCATCGGGGAGGATGAGCTCCCCCGGCCAAGCCGGGAGAAGAGAGCGTGGAGATGAAGTCAGGGGCGGAAGTCGGCTAGGGAGGTAAAAAACCCTAGCAAACCCTATATTATCTTCTTCTTCCCTCTGTCGAGACTTAAGAGCGGTAGCATCTTCCACATTGGCGCTTGCTCCTTCCAACGGACCTCTGCCGCATGGGTTGCCGTCGAATGCTTCATGTTCCACCAATAAAAGTACTCTACCAGCCTTCACTCCTCGTGGATCAGTCGCCTCCTTTCCACCCCCACCTCCTCTGCAAGCATCCATTACCCTGCCACCTCCTCCTTGGGCAACTTTCTCCACGGAAAGCTTCATCTCTTCTAATGAGTCCCACACCCCCTCTTCCTCCTTCGACAACTCTAACTCCTCCATCATCCATCGATACCTAGGGTTCACCCATATTAATTCGTTGTCGCCATCGATGACAACGACGCAGAAGATATCGCCTGGATATGAAGATGGCCGGCTGCTGACGAGCTTTAGGCCGTTTAAAGTGAGAGAAATTGGTAGGAGCATGGAAATGGTTTTTGGAACAGTGGGAGGAGAGGAACGGGAAGGAGGAAAGGTTCGAGCTTTGAAGAGAAAGATAGAGGATGAAATGATTAGGGGTCAAATCTGGCCGTTGCTTATAGGTAAGAAGAAGCATGCTCTGCTCGAGTAGTATTTCAGCATGTTTCCTGCAGTTTTTATATTAAATATTAAAACTCATGTAGACCATTCGAGTTCATAATGTAAAGAATATTATTGGACTTGAAAGCTCGAGAACTTAGATGCTTATTTGTGATCCTAAGAAAATTCCTATCAGGTTTTGTCTTCATAAAACGAACTGGTAGCTTAAATTTTTTTCTCATTTATTTTACAAATAATTACTCATTTCAAAGCGGTAGCAGTGGACACCTTCAGGAATGAAAACCTTTAAATCTCCAAACAAATACTGTATTATGCTAATTAAGGCTTCGTTTCTTACTATTTTTTACAAGATCATAAAAAAAGCTTATTTATTTAATAGCTGATGCAGAGACCGCCCTTGAGGAGCTTGATACGAACAGAATTTATATCATGGGTGAGCTTGTTGATCGGAACAGATGGCTAGGTATTACGATGAAGAAAGCAAATGAACAAGGGATCCAATCAGCAAAGCTGCCAATTGGAAACTATATCAAGTTAGCAAGCTCACAGGTTTTTTATTTTTCATCAACTGAACTACTGAAGTATATCTTTATTCGTCTTTTCAAAGTTCTCATCCTTTTATTGTAGATGAAAATAAGCCACCTTGCACCTTTGTTAACTATATGCAATGACTTCAATAGATGCAATTCAAATTTTTTTTTGCTTGCTCTTTGTCTACAAAAGATTTTAGTAAGAAATATATTAGATAATTTAGCAATATAATTTAATTGAGTATATAAAAGTTTAGAATAGAATTAAGTTTGCGCAAATCAAGCACCTGTGGACAAGTTTGATTGAGAAGGTGATGACCTCAAAGTCCACATTGAATATATTTATTTTTTCTACAACAAGGCGCAGCTCATAATAATGTTTAGAGAAATTATTTTTCTTCTGTGTCTGGGATTAACAGTTCATGTCCTGCGTTTGTTTGTAAATCATTTTCTTCCTTTGTTATTGAATCCTGACATTCTTCCAAGAGGGAGTATTCAAATCACATGTTTTCTGCTCACCATCTATTGTGTCATGTGACCTGCAGCTAAACCACTGTATACTTCAGAATGAAGAGAAGCTCTTCCAATGACGTTATCCAATCTATGGTTCTTCAAGAACTTGCCGAGGGAGTCGACTGAAACAGCACAGGCCGTTTATTACAAAAGATATAATAGTGCACCCACTTTTGTCTGTTGCTAAGGTTAGTTTGACCCTTTTTTTGCTTTTCCAAATGAAATTATTATTTGCTGCTTGTATAGTTATCGGCCCTCGATATTGAATAGAGATATTTGAATTTTTTGTGTGATCCAAATGTGGAGTTCCTGACAAAACGCTGCAAGCAGATTCTGAAATTCGGTCAATGTCCCTGTTTTCCCAAATATTAGAGGCATCTGTTAAAGATCATTAGTACCACATCTAAATGTAAACTAATTATGTAGCCTATCATCTATGTACACGTGTCCCTCTATACATACTAGTTTATTTATAGTACATCAAGGTGTATCAGAAAGAATACAGAAATAATATGAGCTACAAACTATTCTCTGCCAGCTGTCTTTCTCTGTTCTTTCCCTGATTTAAGTTTTTTTATGGTATCAGAGCGGGTACGCTTCTGAAATTTGTTCTCCCGCTTCAATGGCCTCTTCTGCATCCTCTCCGGCACTAGCATCCACGACTCGCTCTACTAAAAATTCCGGCATCCCGGCAGCGCTCAAGTTTGTCGTCTCCAATCTCAGGACGCTTGTTCCAACTCAATTATCCACAGACAACTATGCGATCTGGAAAAGCCAGATCATCAAGCTCTTCAGAGCAAACGGTTTCTTTCACTTTCTTGAACCCTCTTCGTCTTCTTCCCAACTACAAGAAACACATCAAGAACATGCCTCTGATACCGATCCAGTCTCTCAAAAGTGGCTCATTACTGATCAAAATCTCTCAGCCGGCGTCTGTTCTACTATTTCTGCATCTGTACTCTCGTATGTTTTACATCTCGATTCTACAGCCGCAGTATGGAAAGCTCTTGAGGTTTGTTTTCAGTCCACGAACCGTTCTCGAGGCTCAAGAATGAGTAGCACAATGTATCCATGAAGACGCAATCCATGTCGCAATACCTCAATGAGATCAAGATTCTTGTCAGATCAAATTGCAGCCTCTGGCTCCACAATCGACAACGAAGATATTATTATGCATATCTTGAATGGTCTACCACCGCCCTATCAAGCATTCAATACCTTCGTTAGAACAATGCCCAACCAGATAAGCCTTGAAAACTTCTATGCATTACTGATAAGCGAAGAGATTCACGTCACCACAGATGCAACAAGAAATTTGTCCGTAATAGACTCTCATGCTGCTCTGTATGCAGCAAGAGGACGAAACAAAAGGAATCATGGTAGATCTCAGCCAACTCAAGCCGGCACAGCAAGAAACAGCTCTCAACCGCTCTCGATTTGTCAAATTTGCAACAAGAAAGGACATGTGGCCTCGGTATGCTGGCATCGTCTCAATGTCAATTACACTCCGCAAATCTCGTTGCATCCCAACAAGGCGATGGTCGCTGCAACTGATTCCACGTCTACCGATTGGTATCTTGACTCCGGTGCGTCGGCACACATGACCAACCTTTCTGAGAACCTTTCCCAAGCCACTACCTATCAAGGATCCTACACGGTTACTATCGGAGACGAAAGAAACATTCCGATTGCTCACTCAGTCACCGGCATTCTTCCAACTCCGTTTCGTAAGCTTCAACTCTCTAACCCTCTTCACATTCCCAGCATCTCTCACAATCTTATTTCGACTTCTAATCTTGTATAGGATAACAACATTTCTATAACTTTTAAACCCATGGGATTTATTTTCAAGGACATGATGACAGATCAAACTCTTCTTCAAGGGCCATGTAAAGATGGCCTATATCCTCTTACCAGTTCTTCTGCGATCATTTCTGCGCTTCCCGCTATCCGCACCTCTTCAAATATTTGGCATAATCGACTCGGTCACCCTCATCAACAGATCCTGCGTCTTATCGCCAATGCTCAACCTCAGCTCAACATATCTAGTTCCAGCCATGCTTGTGTTTCCTGTCAATCTTGTAAAGGGCACAAGTTACCTTTTGATATTTCCAATAATAGAGAACTTACTCCCTTAGCTCTTATACATTCTGATGTATGGGGTCCATCCCCTATTATTTCAAACCAGGGTAAATACTACGTAATCTTTGTTAACGATCACTCGAGGTTTACTTGGCTCTTTCCCATTCGCAATAAATTAGAAGTTACGCAAATTTTCATTGAATTTAAAAATTGTATCGAACTTCAATTATCTCATAAAATAAAAGTCATCGTACTGATGGATCAACCATCATTTTACTCAATTTCTTCGTGACCACGGTATTCATCATCAAATCTCATGCCCGTATACTCCCGAACAAAACGGCACGGCCGAACGCAAGCACCAGCATATTCTTGACACCACTCACACCCTCCACCAAGCCTCCGTTCCTCCCTAATTCTGACCTGACGCTGCTCTAACTGCTACATACCTAATAAATTGTTTGCCTTCTGCTAATATTGATGATATATCTCCTTTTCAAAAACTCTACAACAAGTTGCCGTCCTACAATCACTTAAAAACATTCGGTTGCGAATGTTTTCCCCTCACTCCAGGTCCTCTTCGATATAAACTGCAGCAAAAATCCATCTCGAGCATCTTTCTCGGCTACTCGGACAAATACAAAGGCTATAAATGTCTTAACAAAATCTCCAATACTGTCAGGATCTCACGTCATGTCACATTTCTTGAAAACTCCTTTCCTTTTAGGCTAACAACCACTCAAGCAACTCCGGCTCAATTCTCTTCTTTACCGTCCTTTCTATTGCCCAATATGCATGCTTCTCAATCTCAGTCCTGCTCTCCTCTTAATTTAGTGCCTTTGATCACCCAATCGGACACATCTCCTATCTCCCAGACCTCACCTGAACCGAGCTCCGCTCATCCTCAAGATTCTCCTCCACATTCTTCTACTGATGATGATACTAATCCCATATTATCTCTACCACCCAAACATCACATGATTACAAGATTTCAAAATGGAAAGCTGAAACCACAAAATCGTCTAAATCTTCTTCATCAGCACAATTCCAAGTCTATCCCAGTTGAACCTCATTCCTACACTGAAGCGGTCAAGACTCCTAAATGGAGGCAAGCTATGGCTTCAGAATTCTTCACCTATCAAAAACAAGGCACATGGGCACTTGTTTCTTCCCCGCCGCAAGCATCCATACTTGGCTGTAAATGGACTTTTCGAATAAAAAGAAATACGGACAGTACAGTTGCTCGATTAAAAGCATGTCTAGTTGCTCAAGGCAATCACCAAGAGCACGGCATCGATTATACGGAGACATCCAGTCCCATTGCAAAACTTCCTACCATTCGTGTTCATCTAGCTGTTGCTTCATTTCATGATTGGCCAATTCAACAATTTGATGTTGCCAACGCATTTCTTCATGGCCATCTCATCGAGACAGTGTATATGAGACAGCCTAAAGGCTTTGAAGACTCTATCAATCCCAATCATGTCTGTCATTTACACAAAACTATATATGGGCTCAAACAAGCTCCACGGCAATGATATACTACCTTCACCAACTATCTCACATCACAGTCAAGCCAACCCCTCTCTTCTCTCATACAAGAAAAATGAAGTTCAAATTTACCTATTGGTATATGTTAATGACATATTGCTTACTGGTAACAACCAAATAGCAATTTCAACTCTCATCCAGAAACTTTAGTCCAAGTTTACCATGAAAAATCTCGGTTTGGAAAATCAATTTCTGGGCATTCACATTCGGTCTACCAAAACAGGATATTTTCTATCACAGCAAGCATATGCTGAATCCATCCTTCAGCAGGCTCAATTACTCAAATGCAACACGCTAGCTAATCTGACGTGCACAAAATTTCCATATAAAATCATTCCAGATCCTTGCTTATCCGATCCTAATACATACAGACGTATAACAGGTTCGTTGCAGTACTTAACTTTGACTCGTCCTGACATAGCCTTTGCAGTTAATGTTCTCTATCAACATATGCACGATCCCGACGATCATCATACATATCTGCTGAAACGCCTTCTGCGCTATCTTCGTGGCACAATTGAATGGGGTCTACCCATCACAAAATCTGATCTTCAACTTTGTACCTTCTCCGATGCTGATTGGGCAGGTGATCTGCTTTCAAGAAAGTCTACTTCTGGCTATTGTTCATTTCTTGGCCAAACTCTCATCTCTTGGGCAGTCAAGAAACAAACTACGGTAGCAAGATCCTCTACAGAATCAGAATACCGAGCTCTAGCGGCCGCTACCGCCGATATAATATGGCTTAAACGACTTCTCACAGACTTCAACATTGATCATAGCAATCCAGTTGATCTCTTTTGCAACAATATGTCTGTCATAGCAATCGTCAACAATCCGGTGTTTCAAGCTAGAACGAAACATATTGAGATTGATGATAGGTTCATTCATGACCACATACAGCATAATCGGATTCGCTTGCTACCAATCATACAGTTGATCAAATTGCTAATATATTCACAAAAAATCTCTCCACCCCAAGATTTCAATTCCTACGACTCAAACTGACAATCACCAACAATTCATCAGTTTGTGGGGGACTATTAGAGGCATCTGTTAAAGATCATTAGTACCACATCTAAATGTAAACTAATTATGTAGCCTATCATCTATGTACACGTGTCCCTCTATACATACTAGTCTATATATAGTACATCAAGGTGTATCAGAAAGAATACATAAATAATATGAGCTAAAAACTATTTCTCTGCTAGCTGTCTTTCTCTGTTCTTTTCCCTGATTTAAGTTTCTTTACCAAATATAAGCTGTCATTGTCTGCATTTTATAAATTTTAGATCAAATAAAAAATAAGTGATCTTAAAACTTTTTATGATTTCATTGTATGTTGTTCTTTGACCATCGGAAAAGTTTCCTGGTTAACTGTATTATTTGTCTCCATTTGCCAAACAGAGGTTAATTTTCTAGGACAGTTAAGGCATCTTAATCTAGTGAAGCTGATTGGATATTGCTGTGAGGATAATCAGGAGGCACGAGATGGTGAAGGTGCGGAGTAGATGATCCATTTACGAGAGGAAATCACATATGCATTGATGACTGAGATAAATTAGGAAGTTTCATATGTTTGGCAGTTTGTTCAATCTTATTTGATTAAGTTTGTGAATCTTTAGATGAATTTTTTTATTTATTTTCACTTTACAAATATAATACA